GGACACTCAGCAGTGGGAGATGCCTCTCCCTGCTCCTGAGCACGTTCCTAGCACACAACCCAAGGAACTACATCTCTACACTATGCTGCTGTGTGTGCTTGGAGGCACAGCTACTCGGCTGTAATGGTAAAAAAAGCTTCAAGTTGCTCCAAGAAAAATGTGAGATTTGTACAAGTAACAGGATTTATGATACAGGAAGAGGGATTGCAGGGCTTCCCCAGCAGGTCATAACCCGTGATGGCCATGGCCAAGTTTCCCAGGATCAGGCAGTTTGGGGGGACTTCTGCAGCCAAGTGCACTACTGTTGACTAACCTGCCACACAGAGCATTCAAACTGGCTCTTCTGATCCTTCTCCCCTGACAGTGTTACCCTGTTGGCAGCTGGCGCAGAGCTCAAAAGGATAATAGCCCACGAAACCAAAGAACCTCCATCTGCGGGATTAACCAGGCTACTGTTAACAGCATGATGGCTTGTTTTGTGAAGTGATTGGGATGGCTACCCCCAGTGTTTGGCAGAGATTGACTGATCTAGGTGAGGCAGAGTTTCACAGGAAGACTATGATTTTACCCTGTCTGGCAAAATTTTCTTGCTGATTTGAGTTTTATGCAGTTAAATACTTTAAAAATGCAAATAAGAAACAGCTTATTTCTTTTCTCCAGTTTCTCTCTCCTCCAGACTTTACCCAAACAAACTCAGCAGCCCAGTTTTAGATCCTGACAGTTTTAGCTCCTAATTCAGCTGGAAGCCAGTCTGTGGATCTGAAAGATGTGTTGACATGTAATTTTCCATTCCTACTACATATAAACTGTCCATTATCCCCCCTTATTGCCTGGAGCCAGACAGAGGTGTAGTGGCAAAAGACTGCAAGTCAAAAGTGCATGTAAACTACCCATTTGTCTTTCTGTGACCATACTCTGCAAAATAACATTCATGCTCATTTTTCATTATGTGCTACTTTTTGAATAAAAATCAGATTATCTCTCTGCTGTTAACTTTGCCGTGGTTATTTCAGATAGAAATAAGACTGTTTTCTAGGCCAGGCTGCTATCCTCCCTAGTGAGAAGCTCTGGTGCTCCCATTCAAACAGAGGTAGTGGAGTAAATCAGGACTCCTGGGGCTTGGCATCAATTAGTCATCTACCATGGATCTGATTTGAAACTCTCAACCTGCCTGGCCACATGGTTTGCTACCTGTAGAGGAGCAATAATAAGGATTAAGAGGCATAACTAAGATCCTCTGGGGAAAAGTGCTTTAAAAGGAAAAAGCATGTTTAGAATTTCAGTGTTATGGTTCAAATGGTGTCTTTATTTCATTTTTTAATGAAGGCAAACCCCCAGCAAAATATGCAAGGGAGGAAACTCTAGTGTTAGTATCAGCCTCATAAATGTTGTACTTTCTCATTTAGGAATCATTTAATAACTGATTCTCAGCCCCTGGAAGTCTCTGCCATGAGGTATCGAAGCCAAAACCCATTAGGATTAAATTAATAATAATGTTTATACAGCTACACTGAGAATATCCAGAGCTTCTATGTCAAGGATGGTGAATGATTATTGTCTGGCACATACAGAGCTGCTTGGCTCTAGCTGGAGGGGTGAGGGAGGATTTGCTCTCCACCCAAGACTGTCTCAGCATTCTGCCCCGGAGCTGCCGAATGTCTCTGGAGCTGGTTTGGGATGTTGGGCCCTGTTGCCTGTCAGTTGCTACACTGTAAGTGTGAAGATAGATTGTGGCAGGCCATGGAGAACCTGCCCAGCACCCACAGCTGCTACTTGCATCATCCTTTGGCAACACGTGAATTTCAATATCAGCGTTGCTGCATGTCTCTGCACACTTCTGTTGCAGGTCTTTTTATACAAATGGTCCCCAGTTGCTTTCCAAGCCCAGCTACTACCTGTCCCCCAGACACTGTGGGATGTACATGCAAACCATTGGACGGGAGGGTTGGGCTTCAAAGGAGAAACTTGAGCAGTAGTGTGAAGGTGCAGATCACCTCATAGCACATGGGCAGCTGGACATTCATCTTCATGCCAACAAGTGTACTAAACCTGCTGTGGTACAATGGAGAGGATGGGTGGAAGCAGCTACCAACAATACTGTGTTATTCACAAAGCATCGCCACCTTGCAGGCTGTTATGAAGAATAGGTGCCTGCTCGGAAGAGGGCAGAGTTTAGGAAAAAAAATGCAGAAAACGACGGTGTGCCAGGATCTGGAGTTTGCCATTCTGGTATTTCCTGTGTGAAGGCTGAGACATGGATGAGTGATTGGGCAGTAGGTTTATGGGAACACCAGGAGAAGTTTGGTCCTGCAGAAGGTGATTCCTTCCTTCTCTATCAGGAAGGGAAAAAGCCATCAGAGAGTAACCATGTGCCTCTGATATAGATGTGTCTTCTTAAACTGGTGTCAGGGTTTAACTCCAGCTGGCAACTCACTACTAAGCAGTGGCTTGCTCACTCCCTTCACCCCCCTGGTGGGACAGGGAGGAGAATCAGGAGAAAAAAACACACTAAACTTGTGGGTTGAGGTAAGGACAGGTCAATAATTGAAATAAAGTAAAATAAATTAATACTAGTTATAATAATAACAATAATAATATATAATGACAGCAATAAACATGAGGAGGAGAGAGACGTAAAACCCAAGAGAAACCAGTGATGCACAATACAGTTACTCACCACCCACTGGCAGATGCCTAGCTCGTCCCTGAGCAGCAATCAGTGGCTCCTGGGCAACATCCCCCAATTTATATACTAGGAATGACATTCTGTGGTAAAGAATATCCCTTAGCCGGTTCAGGTCAGCTGTCCAAACCAGAGTCCAGGTTAACCGGGGAGCAATCTTCATTCCTCTTTGGCTAGCGTTGATACAGCAGCTTTCTCTTGTGCTGTCTTCAGTTACAGGTGTTTCTATACCTATTGTTCTCTGTTATTTTCCAAGAAATGCCCTCTGTTGCAGCATGTGGTGCTGAGGACGTGACTGGACAGCAGTGGTACCACAGAGGTTCCACTGAGGGCAACAGGAGAAGGCACCAGGGACAACCCAGATGCCACTGAAGCCCTCAGTGGAGATAACGAATGAGCAAGGCAGCTCCCAAATGTAATCCCCAGGATAGCGCTGAGGGGGAAAACTGCTGCATCTGCCTGGTTTTATTGCACCAAAGTATGTGGGCAAGGCTTCTGCACATCCTATATACTCTGCATGTAGGGCACCATGTGTGGCACAGCATGGCAAGAAGGTGCTCTAAGGAGCTCTCTCTCGTACTTGAAGCCATTGTGTGATGGTAGTCACGTCAGGAGTGCTATTTCTGTGCCTCTCTTCCCGGTAAATACACTGCCCAGACTCTGCTTCCTTGTAGCTCTATCACCACCTACCCCTGTGAGCAGACAGCAGAGCTGAAGGGAGCTGGAGAAGCATTAATGGGTTTTAAAATGGAGCTTAACAGGTTTATGAATGCAGATGTACAGTGTGCCTACCTGCAACACTAGGCACTGGATGCCAGTGCAATTGGCCTCTCCTGATGGCATTTTTCTGAATCGTGGAGGGGGACCCTCGATTTGCCCAATATCCTGCTCTCACGGGCTGTGGAGATAATCACAAGGGCTAGGGGATTGTGAGGGCTAGAGGGGAATATCTCAGTGATTCTGAAAGGTCAGGCAACATCTGTGCTCCTCTCACTCATGCCTGGGTACCACGGAGTGGCAAAGGCTAAATCAGTCCACTTGAAAACAGAGCTATATTCTGGTTGGTCTGAGTATCGATTAAACTAAGTCAATTTGGTTATGTTAGCTGTAGCGAGGATTGTATCAATGTACCTTACAGGCTGAGGTGCTGTATGTAATTCCCACCCCCTCACCTTAAAGCCACCAGCACTTTTGTTACACCGAAGAGTCCTTGCCAGCGTTTTCCACTCCGGTATCTGTGTCAGCTTGCGTTTTTCCATTTCTGTCAGTCAGAGCAAGGAAAAATAATGTTTGCTTCCTTATTAGTAAAACAAACAAAAAAAAAAAAACACGAAAGAAAGAAAGAAAAAAAAAGACAGTTTCCTAGAACTGTTTCTGAAAATCCGTCAGTGCCCCCGTGTGTCGGAGTGGGGACCGGAGAGGCGGCCGGAGAGCCACCGTGCAGAGTCTGCGCACGGCAAGGGGGAATCAGGTTTGCAGGTGCCCAGAATAGGGCGTTTGCAGCCGGCCAGCGGCTTGGCCCTCTCAGAGGGGTGCTGTGAAATGTGCGTGATGCTGTGGCAAAGGCACTGCAGCAACCCTCCCCAAGGACAATCATATCCCACAGGGGCACGATTCAGTGCGATGCCCTAAATACAGAGTGTGTGAGAGAGAAGGAAATACCCAGAAATCGCTGAAGAGCCGAGGATGCGTGTCCATGTGTGGGTGGGCAGGCAAGCAGGGCGGAGGGCGCCCTGGTTTCTGCATTTGTTTCCGAAGCGACGGCGGTCGGCTAGCGCAAAGCTGGATTAGGCGAATCCTGTTCCGGTGCTCGCTCCGGGTTTTTAAAACAGATTAGTACAAAATGGAGTGAGGTCCCTGTAGTTGCAGACGCCCTCGCCTCCCTCCAGGCCCGGGTCCCGGCTGCTGCCCATCTTTTTGGTCTTGCAGAAGCAGAGCAGAAACCAGCAGCTCCCCCCGCGGTTACCCCGCGGCCCGGGGTGCTGCGCGCAGAAAGAGCTGCAGTTGCATCAGTTCTGACGCACCGCACGGACTCGCTGGGTTTAAATGTCCCCCGACAGACGCTGCGCATCGCCAGGCTGCTCCCTCAGCCGGGCGGCGGGGCGGCTTTCCCGGAGCCCCAGTTGATGCAGGGACCACCCGGGCCCAGGGCTGCGGTGCTGTGTGGTGTATTTTTTATTTTATTTTATTTTTCGTTTATTTTCATTTTATCTCATCCCCTTCCCCGTACCTCCTCCCCGCTCCTCCCGCTCCCCCCGCGGGGCGGTCGGGGGCGGAGCCGGGCGCCGCTGTTTGGATTTAAACGTTGCAGCGGGAGGGGGCGGGCTCGACCGGCGGATCCCGGTTCTCGGCTGCGGCTCCCGGCTCCCGCTCCCGGCCCCGCCATGGTGGTGCCAGCGCGTCGCGTGAAGACGGAGTACATGAAGCGCTTCAAGGAGCCCAAATGGGAGTCGTGCGGCGCCTGCTACCTGGAGCTGCTGCACTACCGCCTCAGCCGCCGGCTCCTGGAGCAGGCGCACCGGCCCTGGCTCTGGGACGGCTGGGAGCAGGACAGCGGCAGCGGTGGCGGCAGCACCGCCGCGTCCCCTTCGCCGCCGGGCGCCGGCAGCCCCGCGGCCGCGCAGGAGGAGGAGCCACCGGCGGCCGGAGCGGCAGCGGCAGAGCCGAGCGAGACGGGACGGGCGAGCCCCGGTAGGGAGCGTGGGGATGGCGGGGGGGACACGTGTGTCCCGTGCGGCTCGAGCCCCGGGTCCCTCTGGCCAGGCCGCGCTGCCCTGCCCCGCTCTGCGGGGCACGGTAGGGATGGCTCTGCCCAGGCCGCCCTGCCGTGCCAGGGGATGCTGATCACCCATCCCGGGGCCTGATCCAGGCCCAGCGGGGTGACCGTGCGGGAGCACCCGGCCGCCGCCTGGAGCATCTTACCCGCTCCCAGCCCGACAGTGGCACCACTCATCAGCGGGAGCCCTAGTACGGTTTAGCCGGGTCCTTGCTAGGCCTGCGGAGAAGCCGTAGCTGCGGCATTGGAGGTGTCTCTTTAAAGAGCCAAGTGGTGGTGGTAACTCTCATCCTGAGTCACAGCCACTTATGTAAACTGTTGCCATGGGAGCGGAACATCGCTGCAATTATATAAGCAGGTTCTCCGTCAAAAGCAGTGGCAAGTTGGACTGTATGCCAGTGGCTGGCACTTAACGCAACTGCTTTCCTGGATTTGCACAAATAATCTGTGTCGGCTGAACACTTGGTTCTTAATGCTTCGTGAGGTTTGGTCTTGGGTTCACAGCTGAGTACAGGCAACTTCGTAAGCTGAGCGGGTGCAGAGCTGAGAACATTTTGTTCTCTTCGGGCAGAGGAACTGCCTTTCAATGTCTCAAGATTTAATTATTAGAGTGGGTAGAGAGATAATAGCACTGTCAAGCTTCCTAAGTTGATATTCTTTTGTTCCATAAGATATTGTCTCCTACTTGTAATGAGAGAATACTGTATCTGGCAGCCATTGATTGGTGCTTTGCAATGTGTTTTGAATCATCTGTATATATCTGTTGTACAGTAGCAGGGAAAATCCTTGAGAATTGTTCAGTTAACTTAATGCTGCCTTTTTTTTTTTTCTTGGAGTTAGATGTGCTTGTTTGGAGCGGTGAAATTAATCTGATTCAATGTCCTTTGGGGCCTGAGGTTTCCAGAATGATCTGTATTCTGATATTCAAGGCTAAACTGCATTCATTGTCCTTAAGAATACCATGTTATACAAAAGCTTTAGCTATGTTATCATCTGTTCAAGAGGCCTGGTGTTTCAGAGCATGCCAGTGATGTTGGGTTCTGCAGTGAGCTGCAGTCCTCTTGGCTGGGTGAGCCTGTGGTACCTAGGCCCCACGGTGGGGAGGAAGTGCACATAGCTGCTGGCTGCCAGGGTCATGTACTCCACCTCCACAATGTTGTCCTGGTTTCAGTTGGGATAGAGATAATTTTATTTCTGGTAGCTGGTACATGTTGAGTGCTGGATTCAGTATGAGAATAATGCTGATAACATACTGATGTTGTAGTTATTGTTCAGTAGTGCTTATCCTAAATCAAGGACTTTTCAGTTTCCCATGCTAGTCAGCAGGTGCACAGGAAGCTGGGAAGGAGCATTGCCAGGGCAGCTGATCCAAACTGGCCAAAGGGATACTCTGTACCATAGAATGCCATGCCCAGTATATGAACTGGAGGGGGTTGTCCAGGAGCCACCAATCCTGCTTGGGGATGGGTTGGGCATCGTTCTGCAGCTGGTGAGCAATTTTATTGTGTGCAGCACTAATTTCTCTTGGGTTTTATTCTTTTATCTTTTTGTCTTCATTTTCATTATTATATTTTACTTCCATTATAAAAGTGTGCTTATCTCAATCTATGAGTTTTTTTGGTTCTCTTTCCCACCCCACTGTGGAGTGAGTGGCTGTGTGATACTTAGTTGCTAGCTGGGTTAAACTGCAACAGCTGTGCAGCGATGGAAGCACCCCAGCTCACCAGTATGTAACAAAGTATTAATAGCCCTGTTTGTGCTTTCCTAGATCAGGCCTTCCGGAAGTTAGATTGGGAGTATGTGACGAAGACATGCACAGCATCTCAGTGAGAAGTACTAAGGAATTCCAAAAGACTGGGGAACGGTTGCATGGCAAAAGGCAATGCTGTTTAAAGGCTTGGCTTCTAGTTGGAGGAGGGTGGAAGCTATTGAAGCTGCTCTTGGAACTTGACATTCCCACCTTTTATGATGCAGTTTGAATACATACCAATCTGGGTCAGTTGTGGTAGGGACCAGAATTTCTCTTCATTCTTCTCATTGAGCTTGTGGATAGAGCAGGTAAGCCTGCTACAATCTGGATGGGACTGGCAGTTGCCAAGGCTAGAGTCTGCTGGCCAGGGTGCTCTGCTCACTCCTCAACCTCTCCCTGATTCTCTCCCAGACTGCTCCCTGGGGAAAGATCCAGCTGGAGTTACTTGGCAGCCTGATTCTGGTTGGGTCGTTTTTAGCAGAGGATGAAAGCTTGATGGCACTTTCTGTTGTCAGCGGTGGTGTATGTGACTATCCAGTGCATGCATAGTCATGTCCTCAGTACTGTGTCAGTGGCAAAGGGACTGTGGAGCAACAGTGGTCTGCCAGGTTGTAGGATTTTGGGCAATTGTGCCTCTGTAACTGATCAACTTTGCCATTGCTCCTGTAGGGGAATGCCTGATGTTCTATAAGGTCCTTGCTTTTTGTACCTGTAATGGGAGAAAAATCTATACTTAAGCTTAATATCTTTGCTAAGTGCCTTAGGATAAACATTTTTAAGTTCTGCAATTATTGAAGAGCTTTGCTAAGTCCTTAGCAAAAGGACTGAAAACAATTCTGCTTAGGCAGCTGGATTTAGTGGATATTTATTGTATCTTAATGTACATGTGAATACACAAGCACGTGACTCATTCAGTATTGGACAATTATAAGGACGTATTTTTCTTCTGCTTAGTGGCTGGCTAATTAAAGCATGTGGAGGAGATAACATAGAAACTACCACTCTGTGAAGCTTCCATTATTCAACTGCCTTTTTTTTTTTCCCCACTCTGAAAGAACTTAATTACACTGTGGGGGTAGCTGTGTGTACTTATATTGATGACATCTTTTGTCTTCTGAATCTGACATCCACCCACATGCTATAGCATCCTAGTTGTTACCTGGCTACTGCTGCTTCCTGCTGTTCTGTGGGAAATCTGATTTCTGTCTGAGTGGTATGAACAGTGCTTGTGGCCAAGTATGTATAGCCAGCAGTAATGTTGACTAATATCTGAGGTAAATCCAATACGAAATGGTATGTGTGCCCTGGTTGCTTCTTTTCCTCATTAAGATGAGCCTGTGTGTGTTTGTAAAAGTCTGTGAATGCTTCTGGTGTGTGTGGAGAAAGTGCATGTAGGCAGTTTGGCTTTAAGGTTTACTGGTGTTGCTCTAAAATACTACCAATGCGAACACCTGGGATAGCACCTGGGACAAAGGTTTTTGTCACTGTATCTTGCCCTGAAGCTACAGCTGAGTGATACTAGGGTGTGCTTGGGAGCAACTTTGGGTTAATTCCTTCTGGGCCTTCACTTGCAGCAACGGTTTCTGGGATTCTTCCATGGAACATGCTCAGGCACAGATGTGCTTTAAACATAATCCAACAAAATCTTGACCTAAATCAACGGGTGTAGTTGTGGTGTGGACACATCCTTAAAGCTGTCAACAGAACCCAGTGGGCTGGTAAGTAAAAGACAGAAGCTCTTGGCAGCAGTGCTGCTGTCAGACCTGTTGCTTGTGAAATGACACTGCTGCACAGGCATGCAGGATGAAGGGACCTTTCAATCCTTATTGCCATTTTGCCCTCAGCATTTTGTGCAGTGGTCTTAAGTGACAGCAGTGACAAGCTGCCATCAAAACAGTTGCCTCAACAGTATTTGGAAAGTGACTGATCTGGATTAGTGCAACTCAGCAGAAGGTCCAATTTCATACTTGTTCCCTAATCTTGTCTGTCATCATGTTGCAGGTGTATTTGCTGGCCCAAGAACATGTGAAGGAGTAGCTTGTGGTGGGGAAAGAAGACAAGGGTGTCAGTTCAAGGGTTTATAGTATTATTATTCAAAGTTGCTTCATTTTTTTTTTTTGGAAACAAGCTTTGCTAACAAGCCAAACTAGTCATTACTTTCTGAACTCTGCTGCAGATGAAGCTTGTGTGAATCTGACCAACTGTGAGCTGCTGTGTGGATGCTAGCTCTGGTACTGCATCATATAAGATCTGCCTTGAAGAAATGATGCAATCTATTTCAGCTGTAGTAGCTACTTTCTACTCAGCTGTAGTCTATTCATACCCACAACCGAATATATTCCCCTTTCAAGAGGCCTTGAAGCCCTGACCCATTGGTGGAGGTGTTTGTATTAGAGTAGGAAACTTCGAGTTCTGCCAGTGACAGTTCAAGAACAAAGTGCTTCTCCTGATCTGGAGGTAGTGCTGTAAAGAGCCAACGATTTTATATAGAGATAATACTGTTGACCCCTACGACCTGGCCTGTGGGTCTAATCAGAAGGCTGTTGATATTCTTAGTAAGTCAGCAGGGCCTTTGAAATGGGGGTCCTGTCTGCCCCACGGAGCATCCAATGTTGTGGGAGGGGGAAGATTCACTTGAGCTTTTCTTGCTTGAGCCTGGAGTGGAGCTGTTATGCAAGCAGGGCGATGCAGCAGGGTTTAAGTGACCTCTTCTGGGCAGGAGCTTTCAACAGCAACATCGGGTGGGCCTAACAGCCTTGTTCTGTCTGTTAAGCACTTAATCCCCTCCTGTCCATCCAGTGTGCTCTGCTTAGCATCCATGATGCAGTTTTAAATGTTCCTAGCTTTTTCCCTCTCCTGTCTAATCCCTGTAGCGCTGCAAGCCAGTCAGTTCTGAGTTTCTTGTGTCTGCTGGAGCTGGTGCTCTGTGTGGGAAGGAGGAGATGGGTAGGTGTTGCTGGTGCCTGGACTCGCTGAGCGGCTGGGGTCTAAGTCCTGCTATCAGCTGCTACTTCTGTCTTCCTGTGAAAAGGGCTGTCTAGCAATGGCTTGGATATAAACCATAGTTTTAAATAAAAGACTTAAATAACTGTTAGATATCTGCCTTGTGCCTTCACCAATAGAATTCCGCATAAATGCACCACAGGAGTGAATTCACTGAAATACCTGCTTTAATAGCAGGTGCTTGTAAGTGCTACAGTACACTCTGGCATACAGCATTTACTGTAAGACTGTGCACAACAGGCCTCTGTTTGTCATTTACCCATATGCTTTTATTGCTATTTTGGGACAAGCTGGCTCAATCACTTCTGGACCAGCTGGAGCTATATCCTAGTGAGCAGCATCCCCAGGCATGGCTATTGCCTTGTTTTTTAAAGCTAAAGTATCCATACAATTGTGGAGCCCCCACTTTCCAATATTTTTAAGTCTTTAAATGCTACTTCTGTTCCCGAACTCAGCGTTGCTTCATCCTCCTTTGTAGAGAAGGAAGATGCCATTTGCCCCTGAAGAGAGGACAGAACACCTTCCCAGAATCAAAGCACTCCTGTTTCAGGATTGGCAGCAATGTGTCCCCTTTCAGTGTTTTATTTTCTCAAAACAGTGCTCCCTTCTGATAATGGATCTAGCCAGCCTCTCCTTAGGAGTGGCTGTGGAGAGAGAGATGCTCAGATAGTATTTTGTAAGGGGATAGCTCTCTGCTCCCTGTTTACAGCCATGATGAATGAGCTGTCTTGTTTTAGAAGTGAAACTGTGTGTCCCAGAGACCAGGACACTATGCAAAGCAAGTCTGTTACCACACTGAGGTCACTGCTGCTTGCCTTTTATCCAGCCTTAGCTATAATACCTGAAACTATGTGACATTGATCTGGCCATTCGTTGTTCTTACTTTGTCACTCCTTTGGAATTGACTACTTTTTTTTGTGGTTTTGTGGGGACATTCAATTGAATTCTTACCAAATACAGCTCTAAACACTTTACCGTTGCTGGCTGCTCTTTACCAAATACTCAGCTGTACTGCTGTATATAATCTGCAGCTGAATGCTACACCTGCACTGATTGGAAGATGTGTATTGGCAAGCCTGAACAGGGCCCAGCACCAGGGCCTCTGTGCTGGTTGTCAGCAAGTAGAAAGTGTGCTGGCAAGGCTAATAGCTTGCAAGAGAGCATAAGGCTTGCCTTATGGGAATTCTGGGGCATGTGGCAAGTCTTGATATCTTTACCCTATAACCGTGAAGTAAGTGCAAGAGTAAATGGATGCTTAACCAATGTGCCAGGCAAGTAACTTGTATTTCAGCAGAGCTGGATGGATGCAGAAGTGAAATTAAAGCAGTGTCAGATGTGGTATGTACTTGCTTGACTAGCTAAATCACAGCAATTAGCAGGAATGATTGCTATTTTGTCACAGGATTGGAAATCCCTTCTGCTTTTAGTGATGAAGACACTTGGGTAAAATTTTTACTAGTTGTCTATGCAAGCAAGCCTTAAACCAGATGAACCCCTTCTATGCCAGTAGAGGAATTTCTTCTGTACATACCAGCATATGCTGGTGGTGGTTGAAAGTTCTGAGTCTTGGAACAGAGGTGGTTTGCAGCTCATCCCTACCAGAACCAGAAATGGATGGTGTGATAAAAAACTTGCAAGTTTGGTGTGTTTGTCACCACAGTTTGAGTGTATTGCTGTGTGTGTCTAGAAGAAAGCAGCGTCTAATGCTCAAAGCTGTGGACTTAAAGGGAGTCACTAGTGGACTCCTATCCTGTTTAAAAAAGAAAAGGCTGTAGTTGCCTTTTACATGAAAGGCGTGGTTGGCCTAGAAGTCCCAGAGACTTCAGATCACAATGTCTTAGTGGCCACATTCAATGTATAGCATACGCTTCCAGCTTGCCCACACTACTGTTTAAGATTTGCAAGATGGAGAATGAAAACAGGGTTCTGTGTATTTACTTTTTTCCAAAGTCATATTTCACTAATGTAAGCAGTATATTTGATTAGACTCACTCAGTATAGAATAACAGAATCAGTTAGGTTGGAAAAGACCTTTAAAATTGAATTCAACCACTATCTTAGCATTGCCAAGTCCATCAGTAAATGTCCCAAAGTGAATCACCTACATGTCTTTAAATACCTCCATGCGTGGTGACTCAACCACTTCCCTGGGCAGCCTGTTCCAATGCTTGACATCCATTTTGGAGAAGGAATTTTTCTTAATATCCAATCTAGACCTCCCCTGATGCGATTTGAGGCCATTTCTTCTTGCTCTATTGCTTGTTACCTGGGAGAAGAGACCAATTCCTATCTGGCTACAACCTCCTTTCAGGTGATTGTAGAGTGTGATAAGGTCCCCCCCAGCCTCCTTTTCTCCAGGCTAAACAACCCCATCTCCTTCCGCCACTCCTAACATGACTTACTCTCTAGACCCTTCCCCAGCTCTGTTGGCTTCTCTGGACAGCACTTCAATGACCTTTTTGTAGTGAGGGGCCCAAAACTGAACACAGGATTTGAGGTGCAGCCTAACCAGTGCCACAAACAAAGGAAAACTAGTTCCTCCCTAGCACTATAATGAAAGAAGATTGGATCTTCTCGAACAGTTGTTTCCCTGTGTTTTTATTATTTAATATTTTATATAATGCTGATTCAGCCTTCAGTGATGATCCACAACTGCAATAACATAGTCTTTAAATTTTCTCACAAATCTTAGTCTACATATCCAGTGCCTGGAGGACAATTGCTGGACCCTTGTTATGGAAGGCTTAAACATGTGGGGGACATGAGCCTTGGAGAACAATGCCTGTAGAGAATGGTCCTTTAAATGGACAGCATGCTGTCTGTTCTGTGAAGTAAGGGTGGTGTCTACCACATTGTAGGTTTCTGCTTCATACTCTCCTCTCCTCCATAAACAGAAAATCATAATAGGGGTATATGTATAAACAGGGAGCTTGAAAATGAATCACTTTTCTTTCAGCAGAAGCTTATATTATGAGGGATTTAATATTGCACGTACTCTTATCAGACTTAATTTCTGACTGGCTGGCAGCATCTATGTGGCATTCAGCAGTCCATCTGTTTGCTGTCTGGAAGATGGAAGGATGAAACAGTGAAGACACAAGTTCATTGGAAACAATCATTAAAATTCTGCCTGGAGCTATTGGTTATCTGTAACCTCACCAGTGAAAGGCGTTTTTAAGTATGTGAAAGCTGTATTGTAGTCACTAAAGAAAGAATGAAGACATTTAAGCAAGGTATATGTCTGTTGCTAAGGAAGTAATGACATCTTCCATTTCTAAAAAAAGCACAGCTTCAATGATGTATTGAGAGGATGTGCAAATCAGACACTTATATGTTGTCATTGGGAACTTAAAGGACAACTTTTCTTTTTTTTTTTTCTTTAGAGAAAGAAAAAGAAGATCAAGAAAAGCAGGAGAAGGAAGAGCAAGAAAAAACTGTAGAACACACTTCTGAAAAGGAAGCAGACAAAACCAGCCGTACAGGACGACGTCCAAGTCGAAGTGCCTTGTCCAGTCGTAATGATCGCAAATCAGCCAAAAGTCCTCAAAGGACAGATGCACCAAAGGAGAATAAACATCCATTTGCTCTGTATGGATGGGGAGAAAGACAGACAGATACTGGAAGCCAGAAAACTCACAATGTCCGTGCTTCTGCTTCAGTGAATGAAGTAAGTGAAAGCTTCTGTTTCAGTCAAGGGCAGTGACTACTTAGTGCTTAGATAAAGTAAAGTAAAACTGCTCAGGGTTCCCTTTATTTGAATGCATGGAGATTCTAGCAATAAGTTCTAGAAATAAACCTGGAGAGGTTTGAGATGTCCAAATAAAATAGCTCTTAACTGTTAAGTGGTTTTGAAACTTCCATGTTTGACTAATACTTGAAATTCTGTTTAAACCTTGGCAATCTTGTTTCTGGCTGTTACAGTGTTACTGGCTGCTAACTAGCTGTTATAAATATAGTTCTACACTTCAAACACAACAACAGCAAAGCAGCAGGGAGTTAGCACCAGGCATTCCCCAGCAGGCAGGTGTATAAACACTGCAGTAGTGCTTGTGCTGTGAAAGAGTGACTTTTGCTGGGGCACTTCCCAGAATACAAGCCTCAGTGAGAGGGTATGAATGCTTGGCTGCTAAAATGTCTTGTCTAGCAGCCTGTTTTGGTGGGTTGCCAGCAGGAAACTTTGCCTACAGAATGGTCTATCGGATGGCTGATGGATTACAGGGCTGGTGTAAATAACAAAACACCACAAATAAAATTCATATGGACAGCATCACAATTCTGCTGTATTGGGGGTCTGTTTCCTGGACAAACAGCAAGGTTGGAGCCTATTATAACAAACAGATTAATTTCTTTCTTTTATGTAACTTTCCTAGTCTGCTAAAACATAATCCTTAATGTATCCCTGCCAGTGTCTTGTCCTTTTCTTACTACTGATGTAGATTCTGACTTTATGACCCAAGATACCTGAGGATTGAGGTGGGTGGGTAGCCTTGATGTGCAAGATGGAGCTGGCTTTTGATGGGCTGTTTTGGAAGGGGTTTGAAGCCCAGCCTTTTCCCTCTTGGACTGCTCAACCCTTTGAGGAAAATGTGGAACTTCAGCCTTTCAGCCCTGAAAAGAAACTGCCTTTCCTGATAATGGACACTGTTGCTGAATTGATAAGCTTTGGTCAGTTCTCATAATAGTTGACTGGCTCTTTATGTTCAAGCCTAAAAGAGGCTGATGCCTGACTTGACCAGAGGTATTTATACCTTTTAAGACTTCTAATATTTCTTATGCTAGAAACAGTTACAGAACGCCTAAGATCACCAGAGGTCTTGGGTTTGGACTGAATGGGCAGAATATTTCTGGAACACTCCCAATTATGCAGTGCTTTTTCACTAAGGATGCTTCTTTAAGTATGAACTCACTACTTACTGCCTAGCAAGGTTACTTTTTCTTGAATGTCTGAAAGGTGTTATTTTCCCTTAATTGAGATGGGAGACAGAGTTTTAAATCTGGAGAGAGAAGCAAGCAAATACAGAAACTGGATCTTTGGATTAAATTTTGGGGAAACCATGATGATTTATTAATATAAAAATGTATGTAGTTGTGTGTTCAGCATATGGTTCAAAATTAAGATCTTCAGTCTCTAATAAGGTTTTACTAATATGGCTCAGATTTTAAGGAATGCTTGGGCATATTGAGAGGTGCTTAAGAATTTAAATGGTAGAAGAACTGAAGTTTTTAGAATGTCTGAGTAAGACTATGAAACATTCAAGATTTTTGGAATCATTTAAGAGTGGGAAGCAGGAAAGATAATGTAGAACAGAATTTGAAGAATTTTTTTAATGAAAAAAAAAATCTCTGCTTCTGTTAGCGGTACAAATTACAGAAGAAAATATAATCTTGCTCGCAAGCCCTGTTTCTTCAGGGTGGGGGATTGGGACAAATAAAAAGCGATTCTCAGCATTCCTGGGGGGTTCCTAGGCTGTTTTCCTGCTGTAATATTAACTCTGGTCTTTTAGATTCATGAGTCTGCTCTACGAGCAAAGAACAGGAGACAAGTGGAGAAAAGGAAGCTTTCTCAGAGAAGAGTACGATCAGCAGAAGCAGAAACAGCTTGGCGAACAAAGCCCTCCCCAGCAGATAACCCTTGGATGACAGAGTATATGAGATGCTACTCAGCAAGAGCTCTCTGAATTTGGATTCCCTTAGGCATCCTCAAAAGAAGTTGCGCATATCAGGACACTGGTGCAAGGAACCAAACTACTTATGCAAGGTTTTTATAGGGAGTTTCCAGCTGTTAAAATATTTGTTACAATGTTTTTATCTTGGCTACCTACCTCACAGTGGGGTGTATGGGTGTATCCTTGGAGCCATAACATTTGAAGAGGCTTTTAGATATAATTACCCAAACTTTTAAACAATTCCCCTTTTGGGAATTTTTCTAATGCTTCAGTTGATTTGCTTTCAGGATGGGGGGGAGGAACCTCAGCATGCAGGGAGTCAAAGCAAATACTTTTTTGATTGTGGTTACAAATAATCTGTTGTCCCATATTTAAAAATCCAAGTAATGGGGAGATACTGTTAGGGAAAGACTTTCAAGGTGTGATGGAGGTGCCTTTGTATTTATAATGCTATTTGATTCAATACTTTTACCAAAATAAGTATATGAAGACAGGCAGCAGGAAGCCAGTGGGTCTGGTAAACAGCACTAATAAATGTAGATGCTTTAGGCAGGCAAATACCAAGTATTGTCTGCATACAGAAACTTTAAAAACCCCCAAAACAAACCTTGTTTGATTAGAGAATCTGCTGATGCTAACTTTTATTGCTGTTTCTAAGGTCATTAGAATAAACTACTCGTTTTCAGGGCAAGAAACAGCTACAGGATTGTTTTGCTGTTGCTGTTCCTGTTGTACCAAATAACTAATGTAGACAATCATTATCTGATAGCTGCTGCTCAATACGCAGTTGCTTGTTCTACCAGTATCGAGTTGTGCCACTGTACTAACCTTATGGTCACACTTAAGTCTACACTTAATCATGTAAATTCATTGAAGGAGAGGGCTGGCTCCTTTCTAATGAAGTCTATTTTTAACACTTCAGAATATCTATTATGCTCAGTGGAGGTCAGAGTGCAATATGCATTCCATGTGAAGGTACTATAGAAGTACATTGTTAAAGGGTTTAAACTTGAAAATTGTGTTGATAAAACTCATAGATGAAGTCCTGAGAAGCTTCCTGCCTCTCAGAATTGGTGCAGAACCCCTCACTGTGAGGGGATGGGGAGGGGGCAAGGGCTAGGGCTAGGAGGGGTGTATCCTTTAGTAAACAAGAGCATATAACTGAGTTTGAACATTTTCACTTTGTAGGTCCTACTTCTATGTAGTAAGACAGTCATTGTGATATCCTCAGTGGTTATTTCCCTCATGTGGCTGTAAAATATCTTTTCAGTTTTATAACCATGCTTTAAGCAGATTATTGCTGTAGTCGTGAGCTTCAAAGTTTTGTTCAAGCATGTTGTGTGTTAGTTACATGTGTTGGTTATCTCAGTTTAACTGTTTTGAAGCTTGTGTTTTACAGGCTGGACACTTTCCCACAGGAAGCACACTTGCACTTCTGCAGCAGAAGTCTGCACTAGTTTTAGTTTCATTCTCAGTGACAGGACGGACTCTAGAATTACTATTGCAACACAGTACACACACTTAGTGAAAAGTTTGATTGTGTTATTGAAAGCAATTGCACAAAGGGACCAAGTACTGCTGCCTCCTAGTGTTAATTATATTGCATCAGTAAAGGTTCAATTACTCACAATTTTAATCTTACTAAAAAGTCCTAGAATACGTGAAGTTATAATCTGATTTTTAAACTTGCCTTTTAAGCATAAAGCTATAAAAATACAACTCTTGTTCAAGGTTACCTATTTAAGATCTTATAGCTTTTAAGTCTGGGAATGCAAAGTATGATTAAGAATGTTTTATACACAGCAAAATCCCTGTATTTCAACTTCTAATAAACCACAGGCTAGAACTTCCTAAAGCTATAGAACAGCGCCCAAGCCTGCGGAAAATGATTCCAGAGGATGCCTTTGCTCCATGAGATTGTTTTTATTTCCTTTTATGCTGTGTTTTCCTCTTTAAATAGCTGCTGTAAATACGCTTAGGTTGCTTCTGATGCTGGTTCAATTTGGAAAGCCACCCTAGCTTTGAACAACAGTGTCAAAGCACCAATTCAGTAGTGTTTAACAGCCTTATTCAATAAAAACTCTGCCTGTTCCTGTTGCTGACAGGCTTTGTAGGCTTTCTGTAGCTACAGCAAATGGACTGCACCCTCAGTGCATTTTGTCACATTCAACCGTTTCCATGATTGTGTAGGGCAGGACTCACCTTGCCATGCTTTTGAAGACAGCTTCTACGGTTCTCTCCTCCCACAGAAAATGGAGGAGCCAAGATGACTACTGTGCCTGCCTTAAATACCCACTTTTGGAGAAGATGTATCTCCTGTTAGGTGTTGGTTTTTTGAATAATTATAGGAGGCTTACGTGTCTTCTGTCTTGGATATTGGGTACCACAACTTTAAACATCTCAAATAGACTTGTTCTATGTGTTCAATAAAGCATGAGAATTTTCAACAGCATCAAGGCTGCTGTATACTGAGGAGACCATCTAGTTCTAATCCTTGTCCAGTCAAGAGCTGTTCCCCATAAAGACCACTTTTTAGAAGATAGTAGAGACACTAATTAGGCCACATGAGTCATTGTTTTGCTTTTTCAAAAAGTCTGTAGCTAAAAATAATCCCTGGGTGCTATGTTGGTACTATCTTGGTTTAAGTAATAAAATGCCTGAAGTGAGGGGTAAATTTTTCTGCAAATCAGGCAGCCTTCCTGCATTTGGGCATTATTTAACTAAAAAGCTAGTAGTTTGCTTAGACTATATGAAATAGTATAGTTCTGGACACTGCAAGCTGTATGTGCAAAGTATTTGGTCTGAAAACTGTTGGTGTTGTGATATTAACAAATGAAAAGCCAACTGAATTGTAAAGTAGAACTTTTCACATGTAAAAGCTTTAACTATATTCCATAGATTCTTACAGGAGGTGGCTGTTTTGCTTCAAATTGGACTCACTAAAAATTGATAGTAAATATCTCTCTACCAATTAAGGAAGTTCTGAACTTTGCCTTGCATGGACTCTTGAATTCAGTCAAGTGAAGGACGCTTCTCACTCCTGTTTTAGAAATAAAACTTTTCTGGTAAGAACACAGTAAATTTCCAGTTCTCCAAAGTCTTCATGAAAATAACTGTTTATTCCTTTTTGCTTCTGAAAGTACTTAGCTAAGTGAAACAGGAATTTTACAGTGTGTAATGCTGCAATTTAATTATAGTGTTGTGAAGACTAGTGTTTACAGTGTAAAATGTTACCATGAAAACTGCATTAAGAATGTCCCTGTAAAATACTGTAGCATGCCTGTTCAGTCACTGCTGTCACATCTTTGCAACTATGAAATACTGACTTTTCCACTGGATGCTGAGATAGTCAAGGTGATCACTAAACTTAGAGCCAAACTTAACAAAACTGAGGGACAGATGTGAATTTTTGGTATTTTATCCAGGTAGCAAATGTACATTTAAATTGAATTTTTCATGTGTAGGGAAGTGTATCTGCTTTCATTTTTTTATGGTATAATGCAGTGCCACTGAACTATAAAGGCCTCTCTGACTTTTTTTTACTGGGATAGGGACCAAATGCTAGCAATCTGAGGGCCTTACATGTGGGAACCTGGATGTTCCAGTTTGTTTTCCAGCTCAGATGGTGCACTCAGCAGCAAAGCCATATATGGAGCCTGACTCAACACCTTGACAGTAGCCCCCATGAAATTAGGGGTATAATTGAATGGGAAGCTGCCTCAGCTATTGTTAGCACTGAATTCACTTTAAAAACAATAGGGAAATACCATCTAAGCTTGAAGCAATATGTGTTTTTTAAAGTTTTTAAACAGTATTTGTTTTTAATGCTTCTGTATTGTCTATATTTAATAGCGTAGTGTCAACTTGTACATGTGAATAAAATGAGTGACACAAAGTGCCTTGACTGCTTCTTCTTTGCTTTTTGGGGGTCTCAGATTTTTCTCCCTTACAAGGTGCTTTAGTTCCTGCATGCAAACTGTGGCTTCTGCTTTTCCCAGATATTCTCTCCTGGAAAGTAAGTGACAAGACAGGCTTCTGTAATGACTAATGCTGGGTAAGAGGTTAGATTACAGTTACAATTCCAGTCTCCTATAGTTCTTCTGTAACTCTCCCAGAGATTCTTAATACTTAATATCCTTTCCTGATGTGAACCACTTTTTTTCCCCACTATAATAAGAAAAAGAAAAAGAGCTCTAAAGTGG